TACTTGATTTTTATCGGAAATGTATCTAATTCTTAAGGAAAGTATAAAAAAGTTATAAAAGCAATAACTATTTATTTATTTCATTCGAAAAAGCATAAAATTCACATCAAATGTTCGAATAATCTCCCATTTTGAGCTATGCACAACTTAAGTCTATCTACATTTGCTCTTCCAACTTCAATTAAAGTTGATTTTGTAATAGAGTGAAAAACTTCTCTAATTCTATTCTTCATGTCTTCTGGTGTCGTTGGTTTTTCGCGGTAGACCTCTCCGTTAACATATCCCCAGAGATAGAAATCTAGAGGCGTGAGATCTGGAGATCTTGCTGGCTACTGAATAGGTCCGTTTCTTCCTATCCATTTATTACTGCGCCATCTGTTTAAAAACCATCTTACCTGATTTTGATTGTGGGGAGGCACGCCATCATGTTGGTAATATAACCTGAGTCTGGTGTCAATAGGTACATCCTCCAACAAAATTGGTAAATGTTCTCGGAGGAAATCTCTGTAAATTTCCCCATTCAGTGGACCATCAAAGAAATGTGGTCCTATGACCTGATCCCCAATTATGCCCCCCCAAACATTTATCGACCATCTATTTTGGTAATCAATTTCTCTGACCCAATGTGGATTCTCTGTTGATTAGTAGTGGCAATTGAGTCTATTTACTATTCCATTACTTTTAAATGTTGACTCGTCACTAAACAAAATGTATTTTAGAAAATTTGGTTCCTCGCGAATGAAATTCAATATATTTTCGCAATAGCGAACTCTGGTGTCATAATCCCTTTCATAAAGTTCTTGATGTAATTCAATTCGGTATGGATGAAGTTTATTTTTTATCAATATTCTGTTCACGGAAGTGTGACTTATATCCAGCTCTCTTGCAATTTCTCTCGTACTAACATGAGGATTATCTACTGTTGAAAGGATCACAGCTAATTCATTTTCTTCATTTGTTGCAATTTTGTTTACTACTTGCCTTTTCTCTGCCTGTTTCGTCAAATCTTTCTTTAACCCTCCGATAAGTCTCTGGTCGTATAGACCTTGAATCAGGGTATCGAACTGCATACATTCTACTGGCTAATAAACAATTTCTATCACACTCACCCAAAATGTAGATCATATTTATCAGTTCTTCGGTGGATAATTTCATTTTGAAGCGAAAAATTATTAAATTTCAACTATAAATTATTCTCCTCCTCGATAATTAAATGTCAAATTCCTATAACGTTCAAATGTTTCAAGGGTGATTTGATTTTTCGCTGTATTACAAGATCAACTTTAATGAAAATTCGAAGAGCAATTGTAGATATGATTAATTCGGGCATAGCTTAAAATGTGAGATTGTTTAAACATTTGCTGTGAATATACGCTTTTTTAAATAATTTTTCGTTTATAATAAATAAATAGTTATTGCTTTTATAACTTTTTTATACTTTCTTTAAGAATTAGATACATTTCCGATAAAAATCAAGTAGGCAAACCCTACATTTTCTGAAAGCTCATGGTATGGGCTATCCTGGTATGGCCTCATTTACATGGTGTTCCATTTGAAAAAACTGAGAAAAAAGTGGTCCCGAGTTTTGGTTGCCCCTGTATGGGAAAAGCGCCATTCGGTAAAATTATGAATAGGAAATGAAAATACACTATTTTCGAGAATATTCGGCAGAAAAAAAAAATTATTCCAAATTATTGATTTAGAGATATTTGATGTTGAATAAACCCATTTTGTTACCTAAATCCCACCATAAATTCCTAACCACCCAGTATAAACCCATACAACCCTATATTTTTGAGAAACACTCTTCCAAAGAAATTTAATCGAGTAAAAATATATAGGGTGTTTCCTTTAAAAAAACATTACTTCGATAACTCATACATGTATCGGACACCCTGTATATTGGTAGTTATTTTTGGAACGTAGCTTTCAATGCCCTCTACAACTTTTATTTGAAGCATTTTTTCCTATATAGGGAACTTAGATTAAAGAGACCGAAGATGTAACATTGCACACTGCGCATGTTGTCTATTTTAAGCCAAAGTAACCCACCAATTGAAAATCATTGTTGCACGACGCCACCCGAATTGCTCCGATTTCCATTCAGCGATCACCTCCACGTGAGTTTAATCACCATTGACAGCTGTTTTTTGATTTATTTGTTGGTATTTTAGCAATTTAAAGTGTTCTAGTTATTCAATTTCAAGTTCAAAATGTCACGATGTATCTTGAAAAATTGTATGTACTTATAATACAAGTACTACTGTTATGAATATATTCGTTTTCAGCGGTAAATATTTATTAACGTTTTGACATAAAGCGCCATGGATTCTCTGGGCTGAATACTTCAGATCCGCATTAAGGGGTTTCAATAAATATTAAGCATCACAAACTCAGATTTCATATTACTTACATAAATTTACAAAAGGGTAAAATTTTGAACATTTAATTTAAATAAATAGTAAATAGGCATTATTGCTAACGAAATTTTGTATTTAAAAAGTAGTTTTATAAGAATGTTTTCTAAAGGTAGTTTTTAGCCCTTTTTGGTAGATAAATAAGAGGTAAAGAATCATAGTTGCTAGCTAAATTTTATTTTTATAAGGTATTTTTATAAGGTATTTTTATAAGAATATTAGATGAAATACAGGATGACCTACTTAAAATTTCAAGGTTCATCTTATTTGCGGTCAAATCGAAAGTGACATTGAATTTTCAGTCTTAAAACAAAGTAATCTCGAACATAATTTTCGTTTACTAAAAAAAATCCAAAATTTAGCAATATTTATTTATTATACAATCGAATGCGATTTCAAAGATAACTGGATCAAAAAATCCGAATCTCTAAATTTTGGAGCTAAATGCTCAGATAAAAGCAAGCGACCGATAGGGGTTACAAAAATAATCGATTTATCGATAATTCTGATATTTTTTAATGAAAATCGATTTATCCGCTGTTTTTAATAAATTATTTTCGTTTTTTTTAAGATAATGTATTAATCGATTTTAAAGGAAATACAAAAAAGTAGATTTATTCAAAATAATCGATTTATCGTTTAATCGTTTTTTTAATTATTTGATTATTTTCGATTTTTCAAAGATATTATATGAAAATAATCGATTGGATATAATCGGTTATTTTATATAATCGATATTTTGGTTATTTTTTTAAAATTATCGATTTATCGGATAATCAGCTTTTTAATAATCAATTATTTTCGATAATCGAATAATCAATTTCAAATAAAAGTAAATATGAAAAAAGGATTATTAGAAAATAATAGATAATTCGTTTTATTTTTTGGAAAATCGATTTATCATAGAATCGGCTTCTTAATTAATTGGTTATTTTCGATTAGGCGATTATTTTGGAATTATTGATTATTTTTGGTATTTCAAAGATAATCGAATTATCGATTTTAAAGGAAATACAATAAAAATAGATTATTGATAATAATCGATTGATCGAAAATTATCGATTATTTAAAATAATCGATCATTCTCTTTTTTTTGAAAATCGATTTGTCAGTTAATCGACTTTTTAATTAATCGATTATTTTTGAAATACAATAAAATAGATTATTGGTAATAATCGATTTATCATAGAATCGGCTTCTTAATTAATTGATTATTTTCGATTAGGCGAATATTTTGGAATTATCGATTATTTTCGGTATTTCAAAGATAATCGAATTAACGATTTTAAAGGAAATACAATAAAAATAGATTATTGATAATAATCGATTGATCGAAAATAATCAATTATTTAAAATAATCGATCATTCTGTTTTTTTTTAAATCGATTTATCAGTTAATCGACTTTTTAATTAATCGATTATTTTTGATAAATCGATTATTTTCGATTTTTCAAAGATTATCGAATAATCTGTTTCCATGGACGAAAAAAAAATGGTTTATTTGAAAATAATCGATTATTTAAAATAAACGATAATTCTATTTATATTATATTTTGTAAACACTGATTTATCGGTTAATTGGCATTTTAATTAATCGATTATTTTTGATTTTTCAAAGATAATCAAGTAGTCGATTTTAAAGGAAATGACAAAAAATATATTGTTTGAAAATAATCTATTGATCGAAAATAATCGATTATTTTCAATGATCGATAATTTATTTCGATAATCACTCATCCCTAGCGACCAAATGACTTTTAATAGATTTAAATTTTAAAATGTTATCTGGTTTCAGACATATGCATTTCTAGAGTTTTATGTGACTCATCCTTTATAATAATTAATATTCTTAAAGAAAGAAGCCTTAATATACTTTTTTCTGAGGTTACAATACAAAACAGCATTTTCTCATTTTGACTAATTTTTAATAATATGTAATAGCCGTAGAAAAAATATAATGTTCAACTCATAAGGGTAGATTTGCAGTATTAGCCTGCGCACATGCTATTTTTATAATACTCGTAGACAATGAGTAACATTTTTTGCTCTATTAACAATATATTCTATTTCAACATTTTACTGTAATCTCTTGCAGAAAAGTCCGTAGTAAATAAACGCTAACGAAATATTCTATAAAAGGTCTTCTCTTTACATAAAATGTCGTGGCATCTGTTTGATATTAAAAAATCACGTTAATTTTATTTCATAATACAAAATTCGATTAAACACCTTTTAAATAAACCTAATAGTTCATTAAGATGCTAATAAACAAAGTCCGGTCCCTGTCACAGAGTTCGGGTCGCCGCGTGTCGCCGCCCAGTTCCCCCACTCCGTTAACCCTTCTTTAGAAATTGGCAACATTTGCGCAGATTTAAAACCGGTGTATGTTATATCTCTGGTCTCTTTTATCTAAGATAGGGAAGCAGCTATCGTTCACCCACGCATCGTTGATACATAGAAACAAAAATGAAACTTGCATGTTTGCCCTCATGTAAAATTAGACCTATAAACATAAGGTCACTTTTCCTCTGCATAATATATAAAATTTGATTTTCTAACATCCTGTAAATTAAATATTTCTAGAATCTTCGACTGGGGCACTGGTGCAAAAACTACTTCTGGTCAAAATAGATCACCAAAAGTCGGGAATGCCAAGATAACCTCGATAGAATGGATAAATAGTCATGATATAGGAATGCTCATGGTAGCTTCAGACGATGGTGGTATAAAATTGTGGAGACCCAATACAGGACAAAGCCGTGAACCATTACTTATAAGTGCCTGGCAAGCTTTTAGTGAACTAAAACCCAAATATTCTGGTAAGGATTTTGTATATTTTATATTAATTCAATAACTCATATATTATGCTGATTTAAAAAAAAAATATATTTTTAGTTTAATCGAGGGGTGGTTCACTCCTGAAAAAAATGTACATGTATTTCCAAAATCGCCTAATCTCCTAAGATTTCCAGAAATCTTTTGGGATTTCTGATGATTTCTGCAAATCCTTTTGGGATTTCCAGTGATTTCTGGAAATCTTTTTGGGATTTCCGGGGATTTCTGAAAATACTTTGGGATTTCCATAGATTTCTAAGATATTTTAAGGAATTCCAGTGATTTTCAGAAATCGGTAAAGGATTTCCAGATTATCAAAAAAAAAACTTTAAAATTAAATAACTTATTTCAAACTTTAAAGCCTTACTGTTATACTGCAGGGAGTCTGAGCAAGGTTAATGTATTTATCTATCAAATGTATATACAAGGTGTCCCAGCTAAAACTTGTCACCCCCCTAATCTCCGAACTCGATTTTTATTTCAAGGGGGAACACTTTCACCAAATACATCATCATTGTCCCTTCCCCTACACAAGTCGTTCAGTCGACTTCAGGGGTTGAAATTCACTCGTAAGAGGGTGAATTAGGGAGAGTATTATTATTATTATTATTATTATTATTATTATTTATTATTATTATTATTATTATTATTATTATTATTATTATTATTATTATTATTATTATTATTATTATTATTATTATTATTATTATTATTATTATTATTATTATTATTATTATTATTATTATTATTATTATTATTATTATTATTATTATTATTATTATTATTATTATTATTATTATTATTATTATTATTATTATTATTATTATTATTATTATTATTATTATTATTATTATTATTATTATTATTATTATTATTATTATTATTATTATTATTATTATTATTGTGTTGTCAACCCCCTCATCCCCAGCACCCCCTACTTCAAAATTTTCAATGGGACTACTTACTTGTGATACATCATTTTAAAGGGAATTTAATGCCAAATACATCGGTGTACTGAAATTGAGGATCGATCAAGTGTTGTTGCAGTTTTAATGAAAACTAAGTTTTATCAAGATATTTTTATTTTTCATCACCTAAAATGTTATCATTATATGAAAGGTTGAAAATGTGAACCATTCAGTTCCATACAGAAGTATAAGCGATTTTCGAAATGTCTTCGCACATTTCTCAACATTTCTGGAGTCACTGCATGACACTCTACAACAATTCTCCTGCGTAGAATTTGGCTGAGTAATAAAAACTTTGGATTTCAAATGACCCCATAAAAAAAAGTCTAATGGTGATAAATCAGGAGATCTAGCCGGCCATTCTATTGGTCCTCGCCTTCCAATCCATCTCCCTGTGAAATTGTCATCTAAAAGTTACAAAATAACAGTTACCAAATAATAGTTACCAAATACCAGTTACAAAATCACAGTAGCAAAATAACTGTTACAAAATAACAGTTACAAAATAACAGTTATAAACTAACAATTACAGTTACTGCATCAGTTACAAAGTAACTGTTTTTAAATAACAGTTACAAAATAACAGGTACTAAATAACAGTTACAAAATCACAGTAGCAACATTACTGTTACAAAGTAACAGTTGCAAAATAACAGTTATAAAATAACAGTAGCAAAATAACTGTTGCAAAATAACAGTTACAAAATCACTGTTACAAAATAACTGTTAAAAAATAACTGTTTTTAAAAATAACAGTTGCAAAATAACAATTACAAAGTAACAGTTGCAAAATATCAGTTGCAAAATAACAGTTACAAGATAACAGTTACAAAATAACAGTTACAAAATAACAGTTACAAAGCATTAATTACAAAGTAACAGTTACCAAATAACAGTTATAAACTAACAATTACAGTTACTGCATCAGTTACAAAGCATCAATTACAAAGTAACTGTTTTTAAATAACAGTTACAAAATAACAGGTACTAAATAACAGTTACAAAATCACAGTAGCAAAATTACTGTTATAAAGTAACAGTTGCAAAATAACAGTTACAAAATAACAGTTACAAAATCACAGTTACAAAATAACAGTTACAAAATTACTGTTACAAAGTAACAGTTGCAAAATAACAGTTTCAAAATTACTGTTACAAAGTAACAGTTGCAAAATAACAGTTACAAAATCACAGTAGCAAAATAACTGTTACAAAATAACAGTTACAAAGTAACAGTTGCAAAATAACAGTTACAAAATAACAGTTACAAAATAACAGTTACAAAATAACAGTTGCAAAATAACAGTTACAGAGTACCAGTTGCAAAATAACAGTTGCAAAATAACAGTTACAAAATAACAGTTACAAAATCACAGTTACAAAATCACAGTAGCAAAATAACTTACAAACAGTTGCAAAATAACAGTTACAAAATAACAGTTACAAAATCACAGTAGCAAAATAACTGTTACAAAATAATAGTTACAAAATAACAGTTACAAAGCATTAATTACAAAGTAACAGTTACCAAATAACAGTTATAAACTAACAATTACAGTTACTGCATCAGTTACAAAGCATCAATTACAAAGTAACTGTTTTTAAATAACAGTTACAAAATAACAGGTACTAAATAACAGTTACAAAATCACAGTAGAAAAATTACTGTTACAAAGTAACAGTTGCAAAATAACAGTTACAAAATAACAGTTACAAAATCACAGTAGCAAAATAACTGTTGCAAAATAACAGTTACAAAATTACTGTTACAAAGTAACAGTTACAAAATAACAGTTACAAAATCACATATTCGCATAATTTACTTTGCCGCACTAGTGCGGGAAAGTGGGTTTTCCCGCACTAGTGCGGGAAAGTGGGTTTTCCCGCACTAGTGCGGGAAAGTGACATTTTCAAAAATAAAATTCGTGCGGGAAAAGGAAGGGTCGTAGAAAAAGGTACTTTGTAGTTTTTGTAAAATGTGAGAAAATGCTATATTCCATAGTATTTCCCGGTATTTCCTTGTCAAAACTTGAATAAAATAAGTGCATTTTCAAATACGCAAAAATTAATAGGTACCTATTAACTTTATTTTCAAAATTTTATCGGCACCCTATTCTCTTGTAGTTAAAAATCTGAGTAGTGCAATAATAAATGATGTAATATTTCAAAGATTTTATGTTTAAGGGCGCCCACAAACAGAACGATATCAGTCGTGAGTCGGCTTTTTTGTTTGTACTCGCGTTTGTAATTATAAAGTTAGGTTATACTCTAATTTTTTGACGAATATTACCAAAATTAAACAATATTATTATTATCTGCACTATAAGAACAATAACTAACCATAATATTCAATAAAAAATTACTTACCTGCTTTAAATCTAGTAAAAAACACACAAATAGCTTCGCAAATAGCACGGACGTAAACTCTACAATGACCACCACAACACTAAACACGTGATGAGAGACAACCGGTTTGTAAAAAATCCACATCGATTTCTGGGATTTCCGAGCGATTTCCGAGATTCCCAGAAGGATTTCCGCGATTTCTGAGATTCCCAGAAGGATTTCCGCGATTTCTGAGATTTCCAGAAGGATTTCCGCGATTTCTGAATGGATTTCCTGTTATTCGAAACGATTTCGCGATTTCTTGGTTGATTTCCGTGAGATGTTCTGTAATTTGTACATTTATTTCCTGGAGTGAACCACCCCTCGAGTTTAATATTTACTTCATCTTAAGTTTGATTTTAATTTTTTCTAGGATATTTTATTTTTCTAATTCCTTGCTATAGGAGTGCTCCTCTTTTTAGGGTGGTTTGCTCTGATTACGTAGTGACCTAGCCTAGCTATTTCCTAATTGCTGGCGCGTGGGACCTGTGTTGCAGGTTGTGTTCCCAAATATCGTCAATTTTTTATTTCTAATCTCAAATTTGGACAAGTCCATAGCATAAGGTGCGAAATATGATTTAGGGAAATCACGTAAAACCTAAATAACGATACTGTACAGTAATATGACAATTGAAAAAATACCGGTGTGACTTCCGAATATTTCTTTGGTAAAAATGTTCTGTATCATATGTCGCTGGTGTTAGAAGAATTGGGTTCTTTTGTAGAAATAATTAACGAGTCATAGATAGTAGAAAAAGAAGTGTTTCTAATTTACTATTTTCACTGAAGTAAATACATGGTGGTTGATTCCATTTAGATATAATAATTTTCTTATCTTCACTAAACAGTTTTAAATATTTACAATTTTAGTTCATCACAATTTGATTAACTAATATAGTTGATTTTTTAGTTACCAACTTGAAAACATTTGTTTGTAGAAGTTCTTATGCCATAATAATTGTAGAAGATATAACTTGCACCAGAAAATAAACTGCATTAAACGCTTGTAAAAATGTAGAAAGTAACGTGCCGTCGGCAGAAAGCACTTGAACGCGATGATGGCAATAAGACAACTACTGAATGCCGTTCGCGTCGAGCTCGCCCTAATATATACTGTTCGACCGAAATGAGTGTCCGGGGCATAGTTGACGCACCTATTCGGTTTCAACCAATGAAAACATCATGACATAATGAAATACGTCATTTGTGCTCCGTTAACTATGCACCGGACACTCATTTTGTTCCAATGCACCGCTGTGCACCTGAAAACACAGGTGTTCGACGTTCGGTATTCTGAGAAAAATGATATTTATAGTTTTATGACTTCACATTATATTAGGGTAAAAAGCAGTCGAACTATTTGAGAATTGTTTATTTATTTAGTAGATGTAAATTATTAATTTGTTGATGTTTTTACTGGTGAAATTTTAGAATTTAACCATACTGGCGCGCGCAACAGAAAGGAAAACAACATTGAATGATGAGAAATTAAAATGAATAACAATGATAAAAATATCTTGGAAAAAACTCGAAGGACCAGCCAGTGTTATCGCACTGACACGATGTATGAATAACAAAGTTTAGTTTCTCAGGTGTTTGCTGCGCAAGCCACGCATTATTTCAAACATATG